CCAGTATTCAGCTAACAAATTCTGCTGATAATGATGTATCCACATTTTCATACTTGAATACTCTTCTCCTCAATAACACTACACTATGAAAGACATGATGGAGGGAAAAAAGAGCACCACCTTGGCTAGTAAAAAATATTAGGTATCTTCTTGTACAGGTGATTCTAGCAGTCTTACAGTGCGAGGAAGCATAAACTCGGTAAATATAGGAAAATGTGATGATGGATAATACCCATCAATGTTATCATTTACCACTTCACAAGAAACAGGAATCAGAGATCTACCTCTGAAAAGGATCCAATCAATGTGAAGATCCTGTGTTTGGCGATCCCAGCAGAGGCAAAGAGCTCTAAAAATTAGCTTCAAGAATTCAAGGGTTCCTTGTTTGTCACCTGATAATAACACCAGATCTTGCTGAGTAAGAGACTTTTCATGTCAAAAACAAATTGGTAGTATTAAAATCACAGAAAAAAAGTACCCTTGAAGCCATGATAAGTGCGGATTAGGTCAACATTTTTTCTCCTACGAGCACTAGGCCACGCATCCCTCATATCCCCAACAACACCATGTTCTCTGCACTCAGTTACATAAATACACAAGTTACAAACTACTCTACAATAGTCTGTGTGTATGTATCTCTTCACAAATTCAGTGTATGCAATATCAGTGTATGCAATAAGAAACTACCTTGATCTTCCAAGAAGGAAGCGTCCAGTAGTTGATTCCTTTTGTGTATTAAATCCTCCACAGTACACTACTGGTAGGCTAGGGGGTAAGGATGCAATGTGTTGCCATGTAAGCAAAGCACTTCGCCGGCGGGCACGAGGACTAAATTCGTCCATGTTTGTATTTACTATCTGGAATGAGAATCCAGGAGGCTCAACTCCTTTCAGTTGAAATGTGTGGACATCATGTCAAGGAACCAAGTGATCCAAAGATTGTGCAACAAAAGTGAAACAATGTTTGAATACAATTGATTGAATCTGTAATTTCATTTCTAAATCATAAGGATATAGCCCATGTTGCAATGCAAGGAACTTCAGAACCCCATGAAATGCTTCCGGGAACAGAGGGAGACTCGGACAACCAAAAGGTTCCACCTTCAAGAAGCTCGACCTTTATTTAAGGCGGAAAATTTGACAAACCATTTAGTTCTTCAGCCAGTTAAACAAAAAATAATACCAATAATACTGAAGGAAATCTTGTACCTTTTCCTTATCATAGAAGATAGTGCAATGCTCGTCAGTAGTGTCTTGGGGCCCTTTTCGTGATATCCCAAATTGATCATAACCTTAGTATTTTTATCAAAGAAATCTTAAGTACAAAAAATACTTAAATGGAATTGCTTATATGAAAAACAACTGAATTTACTACGTCTAAAAGGTGATATTAGTCAGTGCTGAATACAAGTAAACGAAAATGAACAACAAGCACTGCCACTGGTATTCAAAAAACGCCCTTTTATATAAAGCTTGTACCTTTACACAGAACACAATCGAAGTTACTTTTATCTTGTAAGCTCACCTAAACCAAACTAGATTTTCAAGGGTAATTGAAAGACACAATCCTAGGTATCATTCTTGCGAAGAGCATTATTTTTCCTTAATATAGCTAGTTTCCACTTTTAGCCAGGTTTCGCTGAGTTTATAAATATGCTTGATAACCACAATGTTATGATAATAGTATTCTCATATTCTTCCTAGGATTTAATTCATCATTTGCTTTTCTTGCAGAATAATTTTATTGCAGTTCACAAGCCAGTCAACTTGAGCCAAAACTTTCCTCGTGTTCAAAAAACAGGACCAAATGATAAAAGAAAAATAAAGAAGTCGCAGGAGAAAGATGACTATATTACCTGAAACAACTAATACATAGCTATGCTTACACTTATCTATGAGATTTTTCACCAAAATTTCAGATATTTTGATCATTTTGGAATTTTATAACAAGTGAAATCTTAATAAATTTCTAACACTTCTCTTCCACTCCCCCCTTGAATTTAAACAAGACAACTTTTGAACGTATCTGCCTATTTACAGATGTAAATTCTTATTCTAGTGAGAATATTAACTTATGTAACCTATTGACACCTTTTAATAAATACTCAGTCATTTTAACAAAACCAAATAATCTATTTGACAGACGTCACATTAGAACTTCTGCGTAGCAAGCAGTAGCTTACTTAAAATTTATGCAGATTTAAGCAACATGATGCCCTTGTTGAGATATTTCTCTTCAAAACCAGCAGCCATATTATATAATCCTTCAACAAGGCCCTGGCTATAGCCTATGGATCGTGCATTATGTCATAAGATACAAAACATGCTCGTACCACAATATGCGTGCAACAAAATTGAGGACATAAATTAATATTTTCAAAAGCTTAAGAACAACTTGTTGAAAAGGTTCTTCACCTGGCAAACCCTGCTGGAGAAAATCCAATTGTGTTTTCACTCCTGAACCCAGATGAACATCAATACAACGAAGAGGATGAGTAAATTGAATCAATCACAGTTATAAAAGGAGAAACAGAAAGCATAACATCTAATAAACAAATCCAGATCAATCAATCAGAGGAGAAAAGGGAATACAAGATACACAAACAAAGCATAAATCTTGAAATCTTGAAATCTTGAAATCAAACAATGAATATCACCCCACCCTTAAAAAAACCGCATTTCTGCCGACAAAGAACTTGGATATTCAAAGCAAGCTTTTTCCAGAAGGATCAAGAATAATCTAGCAAAACCATAACCCAAATCGCAGAAAAAAACAGGAAAGCAAGCATTTTGAGCAACCCCAAATGGAAATCAATAAGAGAAACCTTGTTGGGTGCAAAGAATAATGGGTGAGTGATTGGTAACAACGCTTATGCACAAATCTCTTCTCTTCTCCCACGTATTAGGACTGTCATGTGGCTCATCATCATGGAGATTGAAAGTCATCACAGTCAATGATACACTCATTTTTTTCTTCTCTCTCTTCTTCTCTCTACTTCATATCTGATCGATTTAAGAGAATAAGGAATGCTTCAAGAAAGAACAAATGCTGAACAGGATGTCATGGTCTTATATAGATATAATATATAATCTTTGTCACAGAAACACCCTTTCAACAAAAAAACACCAGACAGGAAAAAAGGGTGATCTTTTTTTTTCCTTTTTCCTTTTTCCTTTTTATTTATTTATTTTGGTAGGTGTGAAGTAAACAAGAACTTGATCTCGCATTGTATGTGTGAAATGAAGTTAAGGTGGTGAGGTTCTGTGCCATGGCTTCTTCCATTTTACAAGTTCCATTCTTCCTATCCAACCAAAATAATAAAGAGACAAGCTTGACTTTTTTTTCTTGGTTTTTGCAAAAGGAAAAGTTTCTTACTTCATTTTCTATAAAATTTTAAACATTCATACGAAATTTTTTTATTGTGAGTTTCTAATTTATGTTGGTTAGGTTATTGTTTCAGAACAAGAAGAATCCAAGTAAAAGAAAGAAAAATTAAGAACAAAACAATAACAACTTAATAGTAATAAAAGAACTAAAATATTGTCTCTTGAAAAAAAAAAAAAAACGTATATAAATATGATAAAATTTAATAAAAAAGTGATTTCATTTTAATACATGATTTTTATTCATCATTATTATCCTATGTTATTATTTTGTTTACTTACAGAGAAAGATTTATAATTAATATAAAATAATAATATAATTAATAAAAAATAATAAGTGATGTAAAAATATATAGTTAATATAAAAATAATATAGTGAATGCAAAATACCAAATCATTATTTATAATGACAATGTTTTTTACTTACCATTTTATATTATTTTTATAAAACTTTACATTTTTAACACGTGTAAAGTAAAATAATAATCTCGTCTGATTAAATAAAAATTAAACAATAAAAAATTTAACTTTTATAAATACTTAATAAAGATAACAACTAAATTAAAAATACTTAAATATATGTTTGAAAATTAATTAAGCATAAAATGTTTCCATCTTCAATGTATCTCAGGATTAAACTCACACAGTCTACTAATTGAATAAACTAAACCTAAAATTTAATTGTATTATGTGAAATCCAAATACTTAATGTAGTGGTTCATAAAATATATATATATATATATATATATATATATATATATATATATATATATATATATATATATATATATATATACCCTCATAATACCACATAAGTTAACATGCACTGGATGTACTATTATTCTGTTGGACACCAATAATTAAAGAATATTACTATACTGTGGGGACTAAAATATTAATTTTTTAAAATTGGAAAAAATTACGTGACCAAAATTTAAAGTTTTTATTTTAAAATACAAAAGATATATTTAATTCTCTACATATATTATGACATTATATAATATTTTTATGCTATGATATTATCATTCTATTTTTATTTTAGTTTTTCTTCTATTATTTATATAAATCTGTAAATTTAGAGAATAGAATAATGTTAATTTTGTTATATAAAATCTCCCCACAAATTTTAAACATCATGAAAAATGAAAACAGATGAATTGTCTTGGCGTGAAATGAAAACTATTTATATTCCTTGAAAAAAACATCCAAAACTATAAAATAGATTTGTTGAAATTGTGATATAGACTTATTATTCTCTAGTCTTTTCAGACTCAAACTAAATACACACTCATTTTTAACATATTTATTTATTTATATATATCGGGATTTATTGTGCACAGCATAATATATGCTCCTTGGCATCTGCTAATTTATTTTTGTAATCCAGTAGTACCTTAGCATTATTATGTTTATTTTATAAATTAAAATGCTTTATTAATTGATAGTTATGAGTTCGAAAGAAACCTCTAGTAAAATTAAAATAATAATAACAATTACACCTTAAAATGATTAAATATTATATAATTTTAAAAATATGAATCAAATAAGATATACAATTCATAAATTTTTATAGCCAAAATTAATGAAACAGAAAAACCAAATTACGAGAGACAATTATAAACCAAAAAAGTTTCTTGTATTAAAAAAAAGTTTAAATACACTGAAACATGGCTCACCGACCACAATTTCCTTCCCTTCGAATAACTTATTCATATCATTATAACCAAACGAAACCAAACCTAAAAATTCCATTGAAGGAAAAACATTACAAGATGAGAGCTTCACCCGCCATGAACAAGATTTCAAAGATTTCAGTGAGCATTTAAACCATTTTTCAAAACCCATTCCACTAAAGTAGCAATGCCAAATCCTGTTGCTGAACGTTTCTTGTCATTCCACACAGGACCAGCCATGTCAATATGCATCCATTGAACCTTTTCATCAACAAACTGCAAAGGAAAATTGGTTCAGAAAACCCTTGACATAAATGTGCAAAAGGACTACACAATAAGAAGCCAAACAATAAGAAATACACACTGTCTATATTTACAATGCAGCTATCTTTTTTCCTGTAATAATTCCCCTTGAATAAATGGGTTGTATGAGTTTATTATGCTTTCATGTGCCATTGCATGCACTTTAAGTGGACCATTTCTTGTCTGCTGTCAAAGTTTACATCCCTTTGGAGAACCAGAGTGAGAAAATGGCCATTGGACTAATTATAATTAGTCCTCCTTAGTCATCACTTCCCAACAAGTTTGAGGAGAAAAAAAATTAAGAATGACAGGATTTATATTATTATTAAGCTGAAATGCAAACCTGTTTTAAGAAGAGCGCGGCAATAATAGCACCACCTTGTCGACCACCAGTGTTCACCATGTCAGCCACCCCGGATTTCATTGATTCCCAGTAACTTTCCTCTAATGGCAGCCTCCATAGTTTCTCCCCACTCACATCAGAAGCTTCAAAAATTTCCTTTGCTAGTTCATCACTGGGAGTAAACACGCCTTCAAAAACAAAGTTTTCAATAGTAATCAATCAGAAGTATTTTCACAGATATATCTTTAAGGCCCAGCCTCTCCTAGAACTTATTTCTTCTATTTTCCTAAAGCAGTACCAATTTTAAGTGCTTCCATTGCTGACTAAAACATTGGTCCTCTTGTGACTCTCACAAGAAAATATTTGTATGCAGTCGATTAAAAGCTCAACTCCATGAACGAATTATTATTTTCTACTTTATAATTACCTGCGATTGAGGGTCCAAGAGCAACTACGCAGGCCCCAGTCAAGGTTGCCAAATCAATAATCTGAAGAACAGTTGACCAACCTATTATTAGCATCATTCTAAAAAACAATTTTCAAGCTTGAGAGAACTGAAACCAAAATCAAAATAAGGCAACAGATTATAAGTTTCTAAATACAAGATGCCAAGTCAGCACTTCTCTCCAAATTTTTTATACAGGAATGAACTTACCCAGATTATTTTAAAGAATATGCATATTCATCAGCTATTTGATTTCTTATTTCAGCCAGACATTATAATGTTTATAACAATTTCTCTAACTCTTTTAAAAAATAATTAATCACCATCCATCAAGCATACAAAAACTATTAAATGCTAAGCAATTTTTTTGGAAGAGATACCTGGAGCTTTTATGATTTATGGGGAGATTACAGGCATAAAAAAGCAAATGCGTAGCTGTATAAGGTTATACCTTTTCAACACCTTGGTTACAAGCATATACCAAAGCATCTGCCAGAGTAAGTCTACCTTCAGCATCAGTGTTGTTAACCTACAGAAGATGTTAAGTCCATCAAATCCTTAATAACAAAATGAAGTAGAGCTACTACACATGCTCTGTTAAATAAATCATAGATGTCAAAACTCCTATACATTGATTATAAGTTTCATCATGTACATATATTTATATTTATGTTTTTTTTACAGTTAGTACCCGATGTAGCCAAAATAGGTTTGCAACAGTGACTGACTGAAAATGATAGTAGTAGTTTCCATCCCAAGACACGATTAACAATTCCAGGGACCTCAAATGGAAATAGCTTATGCCTTTCATTCAAATGTTAAAATAAAATATTCCAAGAAGCACCAATTACATTTTCACTAATCATTATATAACTATTACCATTGGACCATATGATATGTTGGTTTGCAAAATAGGAATCAAAGCAAAGTAATGGTTGAAACAGAACCAAAACGACCAAATAACATGATTAAGTATGACACAAAAGGTTAAACTCAGTGTACTAAATCTACAAACTAAAAAAAAAACGAAATTCTCACCTCTATAGTCTTTCCATTTGAAGCTGTGACAACATCTCCAGGCCTCATACCTGTTCCACTTATCATATTCTCACAAGCAGCAACAATAAAATGAACCTGCACATGCAGGATCTTTAAATATCGGAAACGCATGCATTATTATTATTACACCACAAAAGACACTACACAATATCCATCAGAACTCTATAAATCAAACCACAGGAAATTAGCTACCAGAATGAAAACTCATTCCATAGGTTCATTATGGAAAACATTAGCTGAGCCTACGACAGAAATAAATTGCGCTCGGTTTTATGCATATGAGCCATGATTTGACACATCCAACCCATCATCAATACCCTTAAGTAAAGCCTTAATTTAACATTGGAAGATTGAAGGACACAGGAAGAGGCTTATATGTTAATCAATCATGTCAAATGCTCTTCTATGGAAAGAAAAAGTCATGACAGATGATATAAATGACTGACCTCCACCCCTGGAGGTTTGATTTGACCAAGTGCTTTAGCTGTGCCTAAAACTGCAGCCGAACCACCCATATCATATTTCATGAGTTCAATTGAACAGCCAGGTCCAGTCTTGATGTTGTAGCCACCACTGATAATATGCACACATCACAAGAATACAAATTAAGGAAAATAATGTTTCATCATAATAACAAATAAAACAAATGAATTAAAAAGACAACTTTTAACATTGTGGAAGAAATTATGAAAATATATTACTAACATTGAGACAGGTTATTTTGCAGTGTCATAAAAAATTGAAAACAGATTCAAATAAAGATTGACCAAGATTACAATAATCTTAAATTTTAGTTTGTCTGACACAATATTGCAATGCATCAAAGATTTAATGATGAAATCTGCTAGGTATTACAGACTATACGACTGAACTTGGTTAAACAGTAAAATGTAATATAGCATTCACTGAATTTCCTCTGAAGAGAGGACCCAAACAGCATACAACTTTCTGGTTATTAGAGAGAACCAGACTCTCCCTCCCTAACCTTCACAAGTTACAAAATAAAGATAGAAACTACTAAAACTATCAATTCTGACTTTATAGAGGTCAGATGCAACTAACTACAAACAAGTAACTAACTTCCAGACAGTTAAAATTCTCTGCCATACAATAAACTAAATCATACAGTTTTCCTTCTATTGTAAACCTTCCCTTTGTACCTATCAAAATCCAATCAAAATTGAAATTAATTTACAGAAAGAGAATTTAAAAGGAATATCAAATCATAAATAAAAAAATTATACTAAATGTTCAATGCAGGAGAAGTGGTGTCTAATGTGGCTTAATGAGTATAAAAATAACTTTAAAAAACACTCTTATTCAATAATGAGGACTCAGAATTTATAATGAATATGTTTGACAAAAGTACCTAATAAGCTATTCAAAAGCTAAAAAGTTAATTCTTAATTGAAAGCTAAAAATGATTAAGCTAACTTAAGCATTTGGTAAATAAATAGTTTAACTAGTTCATAGACGTATAATAACATAGAAAACGTGCTTACATAATTTTTTACTTTGTAAATGTATAACTTCAAAGTAATTATAGTTTTTTAGTTAGTTTTGAACTATTATTTCATTTTTTTGCAGAATAGATATTTATTAAAAAACAAAAAATAGGATAAATCATGTAATCATCAAAACAAACCATGAAATATTGAAGGGAATAATAAATAATAAATTTGATTAAAGTTGTGAAGATAAAAATGGAAAATAAAGAAATGTTAAATACTCAAAAGCTGTTTCAAGTAGTATCTTAAAAAATGCTGCTGATGACATAAATTTTGTTCAAGTTAACTAAAAATGTCTTGCCAAACACACTCAATATAGAGATGGGAACAATGAAGCAGTATAACTAATATCTCGTATCAAAGATTTATCTACCACGAGAGCATCAGCATAAACTTTACAACTATTTGATATTATAAGACCAGAATCAAAAACATGCAAGATACGAGGGAAAAGCTGTTTGATTGATCAGTCTTGTATTGAAGTTATAATACTGGAACCAAACCAAATGATCACAAGGGAAAACCCCAGTTATGAAGTTACAGCATTAAAACCACTTGAAATTATGTCATCCAGATTGAATTTATAATACCAGTTTGTCCGTAATTGAGTTACAGATAAAATAAAAGAATAAATACGTCAAATAATTACCTGTCAAAAGTCAAACCTTTTCCGACTAAAGCCAACTTGACATTGACAGGTCCACTCGGTGGTTTGTAACATAGATGGATAAAATGAGGAGGATTTGCCGAGGCTGCAGCAACACCTAGATAAGACCCCATTTTCAGTTCCGCACATTGTTCGGCATTTAATATTTTTGCAGTGAAAACATCACTGTAGGTAGAAGCAATATTAGCTGCCTCCTCTGCCAACACCCCTGAGATAAACAAATTACCAAGCACAGATCAATTTTAGAGAACCATAATTCCCTCACAGATATGAAACTGGCCAATTGCCTGCCCGACAACTGCAAGGACTAGAAATAATATATCATATATCATATCATGTACATTCAAAATGCCATATGAACCTGGTGTGAGCACATTAGCAGGAGAATTTACAAGCTCCCTTCCAAAGATAATTCCAGAAGAAACATCTCCTGCATACTTAAGTTTCTTCTCCAGTTCAGGTCCTGTCCCTAGACCAATAATGTCAACGGACTGAAGCGTTGGTTTTTTAGCTTCCGACTTGTATCTATTATCTTCAAATAATCCCAGCACAGCCCCTGGCACATTTCAAGCCCACACATCGTCAAGCATAACTACAAAATCACAGGCTTCAATACATTTCAAACAAAAACAAACCGCAAATTCAATACCAGACGCAATTGCATAAGCAGTGCTAAGCTTTGATGGTGCAGAGAGCCCTTCAGAAGAGGCAAGAACAACGGCAACACTGCTTGCTTGATAAGACTTGGCCGCTGCCACTACGGCCTCGCCAAGACCCTTAAAAGGTGCAGGAGTGGAAGGTGACTGTCCAAGACCAATCAAGCTAACCCTCTTTGATCCATGTCCTGTAATTCTAATAATAGTTGATTGACCAACTTTGCCAGAGAAATCCTCTTCGGAAGAGACTTCAGCTAATATACCACCCAATTTTGAGTCGATCTTGCTCAAGATCACATTCTCAAACCTCGACTTTTCATCTCTAGCCAAATCTTTCTCCGTAACACCCACTGCTAGAATGTCCCCTTTCCATTCCGTCACATCAACATCCTTAGCAGTGAAACAGATCTTCCACGAATTTCCACAAACACAAAACACGCATTTTCAGCACAACGCCAATTAAACACACAAATACAAAAAGAATATTAAAAACAAATACACCAATACATATGAAATCCAAACTTAATTTGGCAGAACCAAAAAAGTCAAATCAAAAGTAAATCCCCACAACAACAAAAATCCACAAGTTATCAGCTTTTGAATCGTTAAAGCAAATGCAAAGTTAAACAAAATATGGGGACGGAACATTGAGGGAGAAAAAAATATGTTAACGAGTTTTGACCTTGGGGGTTTCAATATTAGAAGGATGAGTGAGACCGAGAGTGGCACGTGCGAGAGTTTGAGACATGAGTTTCCTCGCCGGAGAACGCAGAGGGAATGCGGCGAAGTGGAAACGCGAGGGGAATCTAGTGAGAAAGGGAGAAGACGAAGATGATGTGAAACAAACGAAGATGGTAGCAATGGCTGCCATTCCACTGTGAAAACTCTTCCTTATTTATAATCATCCATCACCACCTTCAATCTTTATTTTTCCTCAATTTCTACTCCAACAATTTTGCATCTTCCTATAAAATTAAATACATTTTTTCAGACTTTTTTTTCTCTTTGATATTTTCAATATAAATAATATTCTTCTTTCTGATATATATAATCTTTTAAAATGTGCTTTTAATCCATGATTTGTACATATTAATTGATAGTTTTATAAATCGTACGTTATAATCTTATATTTCAAAATGGAACGGCTTCCAAGTTTTTCGATTTGTTATTGTTTCAAGTGATATTTTGAATAATTTTGGCTCCTCTCACGTCATCGAAAAACACTTTTAGTTCTTGAAAAGAAATATATGTATTTTTGGTCATTGTTCCGATAAAGTTAAAATCATATCAAATTGGTTTAAGTTAGCAATTATGTTAAACTCCATTACACAAATGACCTATTTTGCAAATAGTATTACACCTCTCAAAAAATATTTAAAAGGTAAATTATATTTTTCATATTTAACCTTTACTTCTTCGAGAACATTTTGTTTGTTTCTAATTCTTACAAATTAAATATGTTTTGATTAGAAAAACTGAAATTAGTATTTCTCTTTATTTATTGTTTTACATTGTTTTTATCGTTGATTTATATTTCTTTTTATTTTTTGCTTCATTAGTAGTGACAAACAAGATATTTTATTGCTAATTGTAACTTTTGCTTTGATAGATGTTCTTTTTCATTGGACGCTTTGTCATTACTCTTTATGCTTTCTCGTGTTCGTGGCAGAAATTATATTGTAAAATGCATGTGTATTTTTTTCCAAAGGAATAAAGTTAACTTAAAAAAACTATTTTACAAAAACATTAATAACTATTTTTCTATAATATATCATAGGATGAGAATCATGCAATATGTTTTATAACTTTTCTTAATCATTAAATGAAGAAAATTATTGATTTATTTTATTTTTAAAATATCTAATACGTTGACTTCTTCATTTTGAGTAATATTTATTTATAAAATTTAAATTTAAGCTTAAATAATTTGTTGTCTGCATAAATTTGTGAATTATGTATACAGTACCGAATTACGCGTTTTTGTATTATTTGTCTTCTCCAAGTTTGATCATTAAATAGTAAATCTTAAAAGTAATCAAATATGCAAATCTTAGTTAGTGGTAACCATATCACTTGCATCACATTGATTTTATTTTATTTTTCTCTCTATTTAAATAGAGTAATTTAAAAAATAAACAGTTGAATTTTAATCAGTCATGTGAAAATTATGGAATGCACAACCAATTGCTTGAAGGATGTCAATAAACAACAAAAATTAAAACAAAAGTTAAAAATTCACGGAAGACCTAAATGGAAATACATTATTAAAGATAAAAAGACGAAATCTGAATGTTTATTAGGAAAATAACAAATTAAATAAGTTAGTCTTACTCATACCTACATGTAACTTAATGAACAAAAGGATTTGAAGGTAAACTTTTTGTTGTTTATTTGAGTGTTGAGTGGATGTCAGAGTGAATTTGGAAGTAAATTTTTTTAATCTATCATATCAATCAAATCTTACACTAATTCTCACAAACTTTACTTCCAAATTCACTCTCACTTGCCTTCAAATCTACTCAAATAAACAACAAAAAATTTTACCTTCAAATTTTCTCAAATCCATTGAATCACTTTCCTCCAAATTCATTGAAGTGAACAAAGTCTTACACTTGTCAACAATTATTTTATTGGTACCAATAAAAAATTCTAAATGATATTCATATCATGGATTGAAAATGATCATAAATGAGATGTATCATCTCATTTTTAATAATTTTCAATTATTATTGAATTAAAATTATTCAGATGTAAGTATAACACCAAACACTAAAATTAATATATATATATATATATATATATATATATATATATTATTTGCTAACTTATTGTTCCAATTAAGTCAACCATAAATTATTCATAATTTTGAGTAATAATCTGGAAATTTTCTCTAAAAATGAAAACGTCAATAGAATAGTACTTCATTACACTTCACGCTCGCTCCCCATAATATATGAGGGTATTTTTGTCAACTAAAATTTGATACATTACCTAAGTTAGCAAACCCCTATATGTATATCTTATATTATTAGAGTGATATAATACCAAACCTAAAACATATCAGAGTTTTATAGAAAACATGATATATATATATATATATATATATGATCTTGAGAAACATTCTCATTTGATCACATGATTAAGATTATCATTGTAAACAAAAAAACAAAAATAGAAGAGTAAATTAATTTAGCAAAAGAATACTTTTAGGACCATTTATCAATATAGTCTTATAGAAGACTCATATGACATATGAAATCAATGACTACTCACATGCATGGGGAAACGCACAAAATAAAAAAAAGTAAAAACTAATTTATTCTTTTCTAAAACTAATAGGATAGACTTGAAGATATCACCTAGACGATCTCTAATATTCAAAGAGATGGACTAAAGGTTAGAAGACTAAGAGAGATGACGTTCTATTTATAAGTTGAACTTTAATATTAAAATAAGCGAAACACACTTTTACTTTTTAATATATTGTTTTATAAGCTCTTACACCATCTAAAAAATTAAATAAAAAAGTTTCAATGTTAAAAAAATAATATAAATTGAAAATTAACAATAACCTACATATTAAAGAAAATAACCCTCTTATCAAATACTCAAAATTACTCCTAATTCCATAACATTATTCAAGAAAATTATATTAAGATCATGACACATTAACCTATTGAACTAACATCAATGCCCAACTCAAATTAAACTGACAATGTCACAACAAATTTGAAGTAAGAAAAAGGAAAAGAATAATTCAATTTGGGAAAAAATGTAATAGAAATATTTCCAAAAAAAATCCTAATCTTTTAATTAAATTTAAAAATATTTAATTTTAATTAATTATGCTATTGTCATAAAATCTTAAAGATTTTATTTTTAAACTTTTTCTACCAAACAGCGTCATATTTTATCATGTATGTTTAGTGAATGTTAGCTGCAATGTAACTAATGAAAAGACGTTAGAACATGGATCATTATATTTTATTCATTAAAAATAATATAAATAGTTTAATATTCTCTCTCTCTCTCTCTCTCTCTCTCTCTCTCTATATATATATATATATTAATAGGTATATTTGTTTATGTTTTGTGAAATATAATTTTTATTATAAATTTAATGTAATTTTCTATATTTTGTATTTTTTTTTTCTTAATAATTTTTTTGTGATGATAACTAATTGATAAATTTTGGAATATAACATAATTGATATCAAAGTTATAGTGATATTTAAGATGATTTTATTTAGAAATGAAAATGGATTTGAACTTTGATATCTTGTCATTATTCTAATTTGTAAAAGAAAAAAGTTTTTGTTGAAACTTAATGTTAACAATGAAACATGTTCAAAATATAATTTATTGATTCAAACTTGTAGGTTCTAAATCAGAAAATTGGTAACCCTCTTAAATTAATTGAGTATTTGTTGTAAAGAAAACTTTTAGTGCTTTAAAATTTTCAAGTTATTTCAAGTTGTTATGTTTAATTTTATATCTAAAAAAAAAATTTTCATGAAATAATGTTTTTAAAAATATTTTTACGAGGTTTTCCATGAAACATTTTCTGGGTGAAAACATAACTTTTAGAATTAAAATAAAAAATCCCAATATTTGAAAATGAAAACCCATTTTTGCATTGAAACTGCCCGATATTTGAATAATTCTCTGACTTATTTTTAAGTTTAAAAGAAGTTAAATTTGCAAGCTGATGGAAGAAATAACAATGTTATAGCCATTGAACTTAAAATAAAACAACAATACACAAACATTTTTTCCCTAAATACTTAATCAATATCTATAAATTCTTTAATATTTTTTCTATATTATAACATGGCACTTTATAATACGTATGTATTACTTTTATTCGGTGTTATTTAAAATTTGTGAATGTTTAAATATTGACTTAAAAAAATGAGTACGAAAGAAAAGAGATCACCAAAACTCGTCACTCATTCTCTCTCTTTTGTTTTCTTACACCGTTATATCAACTAAATGTAGAAAAAAAAGCTCTATTTGATTGAATTTATATATAAATTAACTTCTATTTTTATTTTATAATATTATGGACTTTTGATTGAGGTCTAATTGCGACCCAAATATGATTAATTGTTATTTAGTCTTTAATTAAGATAATTTTGGAATTAACCTCTTTATCAATCCACAATATTAAACCGTTGATTCTAATTCACATAATAAAAGGTTGATCGTCCCATTAATAATTAATCGGACAAGTATATTATACAACAATACTTACATTTATATGTTTTTAAGTTCAAATTTTGAAAGTTCTAAGTCCATAAAAGCTAATATAATATAGTTTTTCTAGTTAAAGAAATAGTATGATACAGTAAAATTATGTTTAGCATTTTCTCTGAAACTTTTGAAAGAATTTTGAAAAATAGAATGAGAATTCAAAATGAAGATAATTTTTCAAAAAAATCATTTGGTGGAAAAGTTATTGCAGTAGAATATGATTGTAGACAGATTTGGCCAGTAATAAAAAACAAAGATATGATATTGTGAAGCTAATAACAAATTATTATAAATCATCAAAATACTATAAAGTTCTAAAGTTTGCACTAAATATGAGATTAAAGAGTACAAAATCAAATAAGAGTGCAAGAACTATAAAAGAATTTGCTGATTGAATTCTTAATGTTGAAGATGGACACGTGAATTTAAATAAAAATGGAGAAGGTAATATTAAAATATACAATATTTTTTAATTGAATACAATACATCTGGTGGAATTTGTTTATCTCCATTTTTTTTCATAATATAATCATGGGTTTCTTAATGATAATGATGGAAATTATTTATTTATATCTTTGATTTTATTTTATCTTTGATTTCTCACCAAGACGAAGAAGAAATTTATTTAAATTCAAACATATGACTTAATTGTTTAGATCAAAGTTTTAAAATGATATTAAATGCTCATATATTCCCAGTCAAAAGTTTGAAATTGAAAGTTAGTGTAATAGCTTTGAAGAAATATTAATTAAGTAAATTGTCTTTGGAATGATATAAATGTACAAGTCAATTATTTGAAAAAATAATATTATTTTTGCAACAATAATTACAAATAAAAAATTCTTACTAAATCCTTACAAAAAAATATTCATTCTAAATTCTTTATGATTTTAGATTGTCTTTCAGATTTCAAAAAACATTTTTCAACATATTTATATTTTACAATGACAATAAATAAAAATCAATATTAATCTCACTCTAAGGAGGCAAATATATGTTTTTTAAAAAAGAAAATATTTTTCTATACCTTTTTCATACTATTTGTATTGTTACTCGATTAAAGTATTATTCTATATCTAAGTATCAGCATTTAAAACTGATTCTCAAATATATTCCAACTTTAATAATTGAAAAGCAGCTTTGTTAAAATATACTCTTTCAACCACCCACATCCACGTGAATGCATTAGCATGTTTAGTTTCGAATCTTAGAAAGCCAATATTTATAACTTCTACTTCACAAAAATTTATTCTTTCATTTCGTTAATATCGATATAGCATCTAAATCCATAAACATATTATAACATTCTGAAACTAAATCAGTACATAGTATCCAAGGATATTTTTTATTTATTAAACTATTTGTCCTTTTCTTCGATGTATTATCTTTTACTTCTAATTTCCATTTTTTTCTTTTATCAAAAAGATCAAAAGTATTTCTTCTGACTTTTTTTTACTATCTTTTCGTTCCTCTTTAAACAGAAATGAAAAAAAAATTAAACAAAAAATTATAAAAATTTATAAGTAGTTAGATTGATATAATACATTTTTAAAATATTATTGAATAATCAAAATATTTTTATTGTGATAATTTAATTTCAGTCAAATATTAAATTAAAATTTTATTATTAGTATTATTATCACTATTATTTTTAATTTAATTTATTTATTATTTTTACTAGTTTTCTTACTATTGATATTATTTCTAATTTTTATTTATATATTTTTTATCATTATTAATATTTTATTATTATTCATAATTATTATTTTGTTATATGATATAATATACTTAATTATATTATATAAAATAGGTTTAATTGATTCAGAGGTCCCTATTTGTGCAGTTTTGCGTCAATTAGGTTCATGTATTTTGAAATAACTCAATTTGGTCCCTATTCATGAAAAATTGAAGCAATACAATCTTTGCGTTAAATTTTGTGGACATCGTCAAAATTGTTGACGGGTGGCTAGGTGAGGTGGCATTTCAATAGCACGTGGAATTTGAAAAGCACGTGGCATTTTACAATTCCTAGCACCGCCACACTCAAACCACACTACCACCAAGCCGTCGTCGCATAAACAAAACCCTAGCTGTTGCGACTACCACGCTCATCACCATCAACACACAAGCTTCTTCATCCGGCAACCATGGCAGCCCAAAGCGTCGTCACCGTCATCCTCGTCGGCAACCGTCCTCTCCAACGCATCATCAACTCCCAAGCCGCCGTCGCAGAACCACCATCTCGCACCTTCATCTTCTCCATCAAAACCACCACAGCGCTGACACATCATTCCGCCACCACGACCCAAAATCGCGCAAGGTCGCCATCAACAACTCGTCATCCTCCAAGCTCGCGTCAGACCACCACCATGAGCAGCGTCGCTTCTTCATTCACACGCAACCATGGCCATCTTCCATTGACGCTTTGTGCCGCCATCCTCACCACCTGCACTTAGAAAAACCAGAGTACCAACAACCTTCACACACACAAAGACCCAATTCGAAGAAACCTTTGAACTCTAAATCGTCATCCGCAAGAGGCCACCACCATGAGCTTCTGCCTCGCACCTGCAAAGAAAGGAAAACCTAAGAAGACAACCAAATAACAGAGAAACCCATCAAGCACCCTCCAGTAATCGTGCCGCCATGAAGAAGAAACCCAATCGCGCAACCAAACCTACAACCAGCCAAGCACCATGAGTGACTACCTTATCTCCATTAGCGAAATTCATTCTCTCACGCAAAGACTCCCTGACGACGGAAGTTCTTTTTCCCCAATCTGACAAACCCTAATTTTGGGTGGGGAAGGGGATGACACGTGTCACGTACTTTTCAAATGAAATGCCACCTCAGCTAGCCACCAGGCAACCATTTTGACGTCGTCCACAAAATTTAACGACAAGAGTGTATTGTTTCATTTTTTCCTAAATTGAGCTACTTTAAAATACAGGAACTTAATTGACGCAAAACTATACAAATATGGACCACTGAATCAATTAAACCTATAAATTACTATAATTGATTATCCGATTATATTATTTATATTTAACTTATAACAATTAATATATATAATACATAATTGATTACCTATGTTATGTAATGTAATAGGTAGACGCTGATGTATAAGAATTAAGACAAGTAATTATATATAAATGTGTTGCGCAACATTGAAAACACAAGAAATTTATATCACTATATAAAAGAGTTATATTATACTTGTCTAACTCAGTTTTTAAGATTAATTATTAGTTCTAATATTATTAATGAATTTTTTAAAGAATACTTTATTCAAAAGATTCAAAACCAATAATATTTGAGTTCAATCTCTAATCCAAAACGTTGATAGAGTTTCTTAATCTTCTCAACTTTTTTATATATACTAGACATAAGACTTAAACTCACATGTGTTTGAAACAAATATGTATCTTATAAGTTACAAAACTAATTACCAAACAACAGTTAATATAAGTTTTTAGATTATGTAATAAATGAAAAATGAAAAATGAGATATATTTTTCATTTTTATTCATATATCTAACTTAAAAAGTTAAATATTATCCATACTTATATATATATATATATATATATATATATATATATATCATCTCTATTATAAAGAAGAAATATATATATATATATATATATAAAATTATAAATTATGTTTTTCCAGCTGACTTTCAGCTTCTTTCTTCGCGTAATTTGCGTGCGCGAAAAGTAGCTAATCTCACAAATCAGCGAATATATATATGAGTCGTGCCTTTCTTTTCGTTGTATCTCGAAAACAAACAAAGCATAAGGATAGATGTATCATATGCTATCACAGACTAATTTACTTATATATTACAATATACAAAGAGAAAACACTACACAATAAGAACAGAATATATGAAAAATATTCGTTTACCACCCTTGTTAATTAATTGAGTCTAGTGTTGTCATGCTTATATCTATTGCTAGTAAGCTTGCATTGTTAATTAATGGTTTCTTAGTTTGTAGATTTTGTTTGCATATTTTGTCTTTTGTCTGTGGTAAACGGTTAAATATGCAGATTACACATTCCCTTTGATTGTGGTGGTCTTCTCGATGATTCAATAAATACGCTAACCATTTTCTGGCAATATTGTTTTTTAATGAAAAGGTGACTTAGCTGTCATCATGGAAAATATAAATCAAGATTCCTCGTGCCTTAACACGCAGAAAATTATTGAGTTCATGAACACAAGACAAAAAGCTCATCATTTTCAAGGATTGTGAAAGACTAAAAGAGACATCTTCACAGCATTGGATTTTTTTTAAGATTTCGTAATTATAGTAATAGAGTGTTCTGTTGTTCGTCCGTTTGTATAAGATACTCCAGCAAGAACGCATGAAAAAAACGAAAGTCTAACGTTTGTGATGATGATGGGTGAAATTGTTTTGTTCATGAATCTCTCTAGCCATCAATCAACTTCTTGGTTACTAGAAAAAAGGAGCCAAAAAGATTTTGCGTAAGATTGAAATAAAAATGGAGCAGAAAGAGACATGAAACATCCATCACAATTATCACTTTCAGAGAGGAAGCAATACCCCACCAGTGCTGGTGGAATCAAAACGAAGCACACATATCTATCAGAATGAATAGTCCTGCTCCCGCGGTGACAAAAAAAAGCACGCCACTGTTCTATCATTGTCATCCATCACAAGTAGGACTCATCATTCAGTTCAAACTCTAGCTAAACAACAGAATGCGTGCATGGAAGTATGTAACTGTAATCAGAATGAGACGGTGTCAAAGTGCAGGTTATCTATCATCACCTGCTGCCACTGGCTTAATAAAAGATATTTCTAATCACCAATCTTTTTTACTGTACAAAAAATTGTACTCCAATTTGTTAAGGCCTCCCTCCAGAAGCCACATACAACATGATTAGTTAGGTACTGAGTTGATTTAATTCAACTAGCCATGCTTCCCGTTTCAGGGTTTCATGAGATGGGTACACAAGCTCTCCTCCCTCACGACTCAATCTAAGGCCTAAGTAGTATGAATTTGGTCTACCAGATGATCTCTATCAGCCAAGACAGTTGTTTGTTGAGTCGTCATCAATCACTCTGACGATAAACTCAAATTATCGATGGCAATGGACAGATCAGATTCCATCACATGATCACACTGCTTTTGTTGGGAATCATCTTTGGTGACATTCTCTTCCTTCCCTTCTGCAGCAGCCATACAATCTTGGAATCTGAAGCAACTGATGAGGTGGTCATTTGTTAACCCCACGACCTGCATGAAGGAGTATATGACCGTGGGACCCACACCTCGGAAACCTCTTCTCACAAGGTCTTTGCTGATAACATCAGCTTTTGGTGTTTTTACAGGAACCTGTCGAGGATATCGGAATCTGCTAATTATAGGCTTGTAGTTTACAAAACTCCAAATATACTTGTCAAATGACCCGAACTCTTCTATTACCTGGCATCAGTAAAACCTGCAAAAAGTTAGTTGCAATGATAATCATAACCATGGTGCAAATTGTGCAAAATGTAATTATGACAGTTTAGTGAAAAATAAAGCATTGTAGCGTTTTATGTTTAGAAAAGTATCAAGACTGATAGGTGACTAGGGACATACCAGCTAAGCAAGCTGGCTGGTTAAAGAATAAATATAATTAGGTTGCATATCATTGTTGTAAATTAGAATAAAAGCAGCTCAGGCTGTACAGCGGATTAATATCATGGTTTGTCCCATATGGGTCATAGAAATTGAATAAGGGTGAGGACCACACAACCTTTATTACCTAACCTACCTGATCAACTGATCATTAAACACCAATTTAAGTCATTCAGTGTATCAATGCATGGGGAAATGGGATGAAAAAATAAAGTCTTTCAATTAATCTTGCAGAAAATTTCAAGACATCTCCTCGGGTAATTACATGAGTTAGGAAAACCGTACTGAATCACAGAGGAAAATTGTTTAAAAATAAAATAAAAAGTGCTTTAATTATTAAAATGGAATTAAATTATTCAGCTTGCGTGGTTGTTATGGATATGGCCTTTAAGTGTAATACTCTCGAAAAATAAATCAGCAAGGATGATCGCTTTTATACTTTACCAATTATATACCTTCTGTTTTATTTTTTAAAAATTATTAAACTTCATTTACGCTTTAGGAATTTCTCCCAAAGACCAATTGCAGAAAATAAAGAAAGATTTAAATTAAAAAACGCTTTCACGCTTGAGAAATATAAAGTAGCTGATTATATTCCTAACTAGAATGCCTAATAAGGATAAACATGCAGACCCCAATACTCCTCTATTTCTTTGATCATAAATAAGGAAGTACGAAGTATCACCTAGATCACTTGCTCCCTGGACATGTTATTAAATCCAGAGACACCTAATATAGAATGAGAATGATTTTAGGGTATGACGGTGCCATAAACACCAAGGGTTTAATCTTGTCTTTGAATGGTCCAGCAATCAACAAGTAATCATGATCCAACCCAAGAGTTTGCATATTCCATAATGAAGGGTTCAAAAGTCATGAGAAGAATAGCATACCTTTGATATTTGACGTGCATTCTCAATTATGGCACGCAGTTTAAGGTCAGAAAGTAAAGAGCTTGCAGCGGTTCCTGGTGCCATTATCTTCTTATCATTAAATTTTGAGACAGCAACTGGATCAAAATCCGCAAAAACTTCCCTGCAAAGAACTTTGTTAACAAAAATAATGTAAACAGTCAAAGAGAAAATAACGGGCTACAACTGATGTAGCAGCTAAACATGTTTGAGGCCAAGAATGAATAATAATTTTAAAAATTAAATAAATTAAGAACATCTACAAAGGCAATACCTAAAGATGTGCCTTTGGCTTAGAATAGCTGGCCAAGTGAGTTCTGACAGAGCACTCGAGAGAACAAGAATCTCAAATAGTTTCCTGCACAAGATAAGGAGCGTCAAGAAAAACATAATACAAGAAGGCGTATTCCCTTTCCGGCCAATATAACAAGATTACTTTCTGAGAATCACATCACGTACTTGTCATCATGCACTGGAATTCCCCATTCTTCATCGTGGAAAGTAGCGTAACATGGTTCTAATATGAATGAGTAAACTTGGTCAGGAAACAACTTTGAAAAAGGCTATGTAGTTCAGAACTTAAAACTCAAAAGAATAATTATAAAGGAATTTACAAGAAAGGTAGAACTTCTGTTCATTAGAATCTACTGCTGTCAAGCTAAATCAGGCTCATAAAATGCATTCACTCAAGATTCCCAATTTTCTCTTTAATGGCTGAAAATTTTCAAACCAAAATCTGAAAAAAAAAAAAAAAACATATATCCGTTGCATGCTATATTACGCCTTCAGCTACAAACGCATGCATGTTGTATTATATTTCAAGCGAATGAAGACAACTCGAATTTCTAAGTTGATAAACCCGACTTCACTCTCATTTCACAATAATTCATATTAAAGAATACACTGGCATACAAATGGAATTACACACTCAATTTTCAAGAACTGAAGTTCATCCTGTAACCGAGTGAGAATCACACAATTCACGCTACATCAACATGAGCTCCAATAAGACCAGACAACAGAAACTGTCTGTCGAAAGGCCTATGGTACAATGAATTTATCGTCATAGCATAACAAGTCTTCATACTGTAAATTTGGAGGGAGTGAAAGAAGATAGAGAGGAATACGAACCAGTATTAGGAGTGATCCAAGCGCATCTCTTCTTCGATTGTGACCCATGAGGAGGAGACTCCAACACACCATCAGAAGCAACACTCCTAGGCTTCGAAACAGAGCGCTTCCTTGTGCACCCCAAGCTAGTAGACCGAGTCAGTCTTCCAGTAGAAGCACGGCTACGAAACGAGTCAGTAGATGCATCAGACGAACATGAAGCATTGAGAGACAAATTGCTGTACAGTAACTGCTCGTGCCGGCGCAGAACACTTGCAGAATGTGACTGTGGAGAAGTAAGAACCGTAGACACTTCCTGGGATTTCTTCTCTTTGTCCTCATTGTGCAATTTATCAGCTTTCCTCAGTGGCTTTGAAGCTGGCTTCCGGGAACTCCATGACCCTGTCTTGTTCCCACCCGGTCCAAACACAGGCCTTGCAGCCTCTGAGTCACCAACATTCACAGACCTCAATCTGGGACCCGACATTCACACAAATTTTTTCTTCTTCAATTCACCACTCACCCCTTCAGATGACTCTTTAATCTCTAACTATCAAGTTTTGGAAGCTTGAGACGCAATAGAAAAGGCATAAGCATTTGAAACTTTCATCGAACACCTGGCATACAGTAACGAGGGTTTCTAAACAGATCTCAGAATTTCACCCCAAATATGCACTGAACTGGGTATCACTTAAATCAAATCCAAAACCCGCAATTTGACAGACATTGAAACACGAAACCGCTTTCCTCTCTGACCAGATTCCGAAATCAGCTCAAAACCCAGAAAGGTTGGAGCCGGTGACAGAAGCTGCAGACACAACAGGATCAAGGTGTCGACCCTTTTGAGCAGAACTAGGGTTTAAGCCAAGTTGCACCGTGCAGTGGTGCTGGTTTGGGAAATGAGGCTAAGAGAGTCTTCAAAGGTTGAAATTCCATTCTGCATTGTAGAGAAGGAGGCTGCTCCCAGCACTACAACCTCGTTTACACGCATTCCTCGGCAAAGTTTATGTTTTTTCAATTTTCTTTTCGTTCCCAGAGAAAAAGCAAAGAAATTTTCCAGGAAAAGAGGCGAGGTTTGGGAGTAAGAATAACAGAAATGATAAAGATTGGAGAGAGAGAAAGAGGGTCGATGAAGACAGAGGAAGATACAAAACAAAATGTGGGAGATGAGACGAGAAGAAGGGAGAGAATAGGAAGAGTGAGGAAGAACAAAGCCTCTTGAGTGACGCAACGTCAGTAACCATCCTTTTCCTTTAATATAATACCCTTTTATCATAATCACAATCAAAATAACTTAATTAATTTTTTTGTATATATAAACTATAAAAAAATCAACCACTTTTCTTAAAATTTATTTAATTCTATAATTACAAGGAGAGAAAATATTATTTAAACGAAGTTTGGTAAGAATAATTAAAAGCTGTATCTTGGTCTTTGAAATAATAGATTCATTGAGTTCAACTAATTAGGCTATCATTCTTTCTTGATATTGGCACATAGAAGAGTGGTAGTTATAGGAAAGATTTTGAATAAATGCGAAAGGACATGCCTCGTTTTATTATGTATAAACAGCGGTGTTAGAATAATTATTATGTTAATAATTCAAGTATTAGTTTAAATTATATAGATATAAATAGAAAGAAGTTGAGTATCAATTAATAAAAAAAAATTATTATTTTTAAGTTTTAGGTTAAAAGTGGTATTAATTTTTTATATGAATTAGGTTTTGGTTATATTTTTGTAAGTAACATATGACATTAAACTTATAAGATCTCTTCCAAATTTTGTAAGCCCATAAAGTCTCAATCACCTTGATCAAGAACTAATAATACAAAAGAATATGAAAAGAAAAGGCAATATCATCTAAATAAATTTAGCTTCAAATTGTAAAATAATATTGATGGCATGCTTTTTGTAGAAAAACTCTTAACAAAACTCTCACTTGAAGCATTTTAAAAGATTTCTTATGTTTTAAGCTCCATTTTATTTGTATTTGAAAAAAATAATTAAAACTCTAACTTGTGGTCGTTTTAGCTAATGCTAAAGAAAAGTCTGATTGGTTGGAAAATAATTATCCTTTAATTTTCCATGATTTATCAAATACTTTTCAAAAGAAATATTATACCTTTATAGTGATAAATTAGTTAATTGGACTTTTATGTCATTTAATGTTTTACTTAATTTTTTTATAATAAATAGTTTGTTTATGTTTTATGAAACGTAATTTTTATCATAGATTTAATTTAATTTAAAACAAATTATGTATGATAAAATATTATTGGAAGTTAGAAAAAGATTACGTGAAGTCTCTCACAATTTTAAGTAGTTAAAATACATTAGGAAACTAAAATGACTTTAAAATGATCTTTAGATGATTTGGGTCTATTAAAATTACTTTTTAATTAGCTAAAACAACGTGAATTTCACTCTTTGAATAATTAAAACATATATTTAATCAACTAAAATATTATCTTTTGAAAACTTATGAAATTTAAGAATATTTTTAATCAATTAAAACATACATAAACATTTATATATATATCATTCTTACCATAAATTTCTCTCAAATCATCACACTGAGTCAACCCCGAGGCCCAACCCAACTCACCAACAAACATCAACACCTACCCTATATGGGTACAACTTAATAAATATATTGATATTTCTAATAACTCTTTAATTAATTGTTGACTATTCAAGGGACTTCTCAATGGAATTTTTATTTCATAAATGAAGTTCTGTAGTTGCTATGTCAATATTTTGTCATTAATTGAAATTGAAGTTAAAGTAGGTTGTTCCTTTCATTTCATCTTTATAAATCTAATCCCTTTCAATGGATAGGTTTTACCATTTTTCTCCTTCTTACCTTCTTTTTTTTCATGTACTTGTGTTTTATTTGTTTTAAAAAAATACTCTTTTAATATAACTGAGTTAACATATATTTACTTATTATCAATTAGTAGGGAGTAAAATTAAATCAAGATTGAATATCACAATATAATTTTAGTAACTTATAATTAATAAAGTAAGACGTTATAAAATTAATAAAACAAAACAATTTATTTGAAAAATATAAATATACAATAATCTAAAAAAAATAATCATAACGATAAATATATAAAAGAATTAAAGATCATTACTTGATTAACAAATATAAGATATTTGGGTGTTGCTACCTCCACCACCACACCTTTCTCCCTCCACCTCCTATTTACTATTTTGCTCCTAAGTAAAATTTTATTTTTAGGGTTATTATTTTTTAATTTTACCCATTCACAACCTATTCCACTAATAATCTATTCTAGTCCCCCATACATGAGTAAAATACTTTTCTTTCATTTTAAGATTATATTTCTTCGTCTCTTTCTTTCGTCGGTGTGAAATACTACAAGTTGCAAAGGTTGATGGTGGTGGAAAGAATTATCAAGCAGTCTCCCTCTCGTGGTGCAGTGTCACTCTCGTGGTGTAGTGCGTGTGTTGCTTTCTCCAGGTGCGTATTCGAATAAACCTTCAAATAAAACCCTAAAATAAAAAACGTAACCTTTAAACAGATGTCAACATCCTTCAACGGATGTCAACATCCTTCAACGGATGTCAACATCCGTTTAAGGTAAAACGGATGTCAACATCCGTTTAAGGTAAAAAGGATGTCGACATCCGTTTTTCCTTAAACGGATGTTGACATCCGTTGAAGGATGTCACCTCCGTTTGTTACGTTTTTTATTTTAGNCAAATATAAGATATTTGGGTGTTGCTACCTCCACCACCACACCTTTCTCCCTCCACCTCCTATTTACTATTTTGCTCCTAAGTAAAATTTTATTTTTAGGGTTATTATTTTTTAATTTTACCCATTCACAACCTATTCCACTAATAATCTATTCTAGTCCCCCATACATGAGTAAAATACTTTTCTTTCATTTTAAGATTATATTTCTTCGTCTCTTTCTTTCGTCGGTGTGAAATACTACAAGTTGCAAAGGTTGATGGTGGTGGAAAGAATTATCAAGCAGTCTCCCTCTCGTGGTGCAGTGTCACTCTCGTGGTGTAGTGCGTGTGTTGCTTTCTCCAGGTGCGTATTCGAATAAACCTTCAAATAAAACCCTAAAATAAAAAACGTAACCTTTAAACAGATGTCAACATCCTTCAACGGATGTCAACATCCTTCAACGGATGTCAACATCCGTTTAAGGTAAAACGGATGTCAACATCCGTTTAAGGTAAAAAGGATGTCGACATCCGTTTTTCCTTAAACGGATGTTGACATCCGTTGAAGGATGTCACCTCCGTTTGTTACGTTTTTTATTTTAGGGTTTGTTTTATTAATTTATTCTTTATTTTGGAAATATTTTAATAATTTAATTTAAATGTTTTGATATATTATTTTTGAATATATTTTTAATGTATTTTAATAATGTAAGGAAAATGAAGAAGAAAGAAACGGAGGAGAAGAAGTGAAACAGAAAAGACAAATGGGATTGCAGAGGAAAACGGGGGTTACAGAGTAAAACGGAAGACGACGAATTGTTAAACGAAAATGAGAGATGGAAAGATTGGATGTAGGGAGTAAAGTAGGAGAACTAGGTTTGAAATAAATTAAAATAGTAAAAGTAAAAAATTTTAATCTGAGGATATAATTGGAATTAAAAAAAATTGGTAAGGTGGAGGGAGAAAGGTGTGGTGGTGGAGGGAGCAACACCCAAGATATTTTTGTATCATCGTCTTTTGCTAAATATGCATCAATATCTATCTCTCGTCTATTAAAAAAAATTATCATCACAAAAATAAAAACACACAGAAAACATAAGAAGAATACAGTAGGGTAAGCTAATGTGCAAATGAGTTTTCATGAAACAAACATATACATATAATCATACATCACTCAACGCTAAACATTTCGCAAAAGGTGGCCTCATCGCTATTCTTCTTACAAAATGTGTTGGAAGTCCCACATCGACTAGAGATAAGGCCAAATTATAATACATAAGTGGGGTCCAAACCTCACCTTACAAGCCGGTTTTGTGGGGTTGAGTTAGACTTAAAACCACTTTCTAATATGGTATCAGAGTCATGGTTGAAGCCTATCCTAGCGAGATCTATGTGCACATTCTGTTTCACTCGTTGTTGGGCTACTATCGGACCACCCATTAATTCTACTCTCACACTCGAGATGCCTATACCTCGGCGTGAAGGGGGTGTGTTGGAAATCTCACATCGACTAGAGATAATGCCAAATTATAATATATATATATATATATATATATATATATATATATATAAGTGGGGTACAAAGCTTACCTTACACACGTCAGTCAATTTTGTGGGATTAAGTTAGGCGCTCGATGGCCTAAAGCTAAAATGCTCCCAGACCTGCATAATAAACAAGTGCTCAATGTCCGTTTGTCACCCCTTAGCCTTGTATCATATATCAACAGAGTAAATTTTATGATTTGGGAAAAAAAGAACATGTTCAAATTGGTATTCTTTATTCAGTACTTTGGTCAAAACAACTTTTAATGTCAGGTCAAATACCAAATTGCTCATTTGATCATATCCTAAGTTCCTCAATTATACATCACTCCAAATTAATGCAACCAACATACAAACATCCAACATAAACAAACTCAGTTCAAACATCGTCATATCACTTAATCATGCAAAAAAGAATTAAAAACATTTATAACTTAGAAACAATTGTAATTAGCTTCCCTTATATGAAATACATATGAACATGCTCTAAGTAATCTCAAATCTCTTCAAGCTCACATGATGCCTTAACTAAATCTAGGAGCAACATGATCAAAATATATCGTTATGATCACTAATATACAGAGACTCATAAATAACTATATGCAAGTGAAGAAAAACTCACATGTAACATATAACAAAAAAAATACTAAGAAAAAGAGTATAAGTCAAATAACTCTAAAAAATAACTCAGCGCAATAATGAAGAAACTAATCCGTCTAAATCAAATAACTCACCGCAATAATTAATCTTACGTTCTTCAATTAGATAAACAAACTGAAAGAACCTTTAAATATAAGTCAAATAACTCTAAAAAATATTCATAGAAAAATAGTATGTTTTGAAAATATAAACGAAATTATTTATATTAAATTATTTTAATATTAAAATAATCAAGTTTTATTACTTTTAAACTATTTTTAATTTTAAAATATAATTTTGCATGTCTTTACATTAATCAAATTATTTACAAAAATAAGTTAATATG